TCCGACAGTGCGGCGCTCCCTCAGCACTGACCCTCCGACAGTGCCTTACTCCCTCAGCACTGACCCTCTGACAGTGCGGTGCTCCCTCAGTACTGACCCTCTGACAGTGCGGCACTCCCTCAGCACTGACCCTCTGACAGTGCGGCGCTCCCTCAGCACTGACCCTCTGACAGTGCCTCACTCCCTCAGCACTGACCCTCTGACAGTGCGGCGCTCCCTCAGTGCTGACCATCCGACAGTGCAGCACTCCTTCAACCCTAACACTCTGACAACGCAGCACTCTCTCAGTACTGATCGTCTGACAATGCAGCACTCTCTCTGTACTGATCCTCTGACATTGCATCACTCCCTTTGTACTGACCCTTTGACAGTGCAGCACTCCCTCAATACTGAATTTCGAACAGTACAGCACTCCCTTAGTCCACACCTCTTTGATGCTCTAACCAATCAGTCTCAGTTATGGGCTGATGACTTTGTATTGGCCTTCAAACCTGGTCCTTTTGACTCAGAGATTAGAAGCTTACCACTGAGCTAATGTGTGGTATATTTACATGCCTTGACCTTGATTAAGAGCACCGCACCAAAGGAAGTAAATCCACAAAACAGCATCTTATCCCTCTTATGTAGCCTTTGTTGGAATCATTCAATTCAACACTGAACCTTTCGAAATGTAAGACCAAAAGACAATAAGACCAGAAGATGTATGAGCAGAATTAGGAAGGGAATAGAGGGATACAGATCCTGTAAATGAAGACAGTTTTAGTATGGAAGGGCAAAGTGTGCAGGCTTCAAGGGCTGAAGGGCCTGTTCCTCTTCTGTATTGTTCTTTGTTCTCATTAGGCATGTGGCTCATTCAGTCCGATCCACCATGTAATCATATCTGATATTTTTCTAACTCCCATTCTCCTGCCTTCTCCCCATAACTCTTGATCCCCTCACCAATCAAGAATCTATCTCTTTCTTAAACACACTCAATGGCTTTGCTTCCATAGACCTCTGCAGCAAAAGAAATTCCTCCTCATCTCAGTTCGAAAAAGTTGTCCCTTCATTCTGAAGCTGTGCCCTCAAGTAATGGTCTCTCCTTCTAGTGGAAACATCTTCTCCACATCCACTCTATCCAGGCCTCTCTGTGTTCTGTAAGTTTTAATCAGATCCCCTTTCATCCTTCTAAATCCCATCGAGAACACAGCCAGAGGCTTCAACCACTCCTCATAAGTCAAGACCTTCAACCTCAGGCTCATTCTTGTCAACCTCCTCTGGACCCCCTCCATCACCAGCACATCCTTCCTTTGATGCAAACTTAGCAACAATACCCTCAGTTCCTTCGTCCAAATCGTTAATGTATAACATCAATAGTTGTGGTCCCAACACTGATTCCCGCAGAACTCCACCAGTCACCACGTGCCGTCCTGTGTATATTTATGGCTGAAAGATTCTTAATCAACTGGGGATTCAAGCATTACATAACAACACAAGAAAGTGGGTTTGAGGAATGACAGATCAGCCATGATCCTCCTGAATGGCACTGTGGGCTCAAGGATCTGAACGGCCTACTCCTGTTCCTGTTTATTGTGGTCTTATGGTCTAATCCTATATCAGTAAGAATTTGTAACCCTGAATTAGGGCTTAAGGTTATCACCAAATGGAATAGGCTGGTGGGCAGTCGAGAGAGTGAAATGAGAGCCGGTTGCCATCCCTCGTGCTGTTAGGCAACAACAAGAGAGCCGTTTGACACTAGGCCCATTGTTAAACTTGAAACAATATTTAATGATGAATCCTGGTCAGGATGCTCACAGAGTGGAGATTGTTCTGTGAACAAGTTTTGGACCAAAGTGTTGAAGTCCAGCGTGACTTTGATGACCTCATCCTCTTTGCTCCTGTCGCTGAACCCAATGAGAGCTTCTTCCTCGTAATTGTCCTCGCGTTTCAAGCAGCCGCCCATTGCCCAGGTGAAAGAGAACATGTAGAGCTTGGCCAGGAGGGCAGGCAGCATGTTCGGTTTCTTCTCTAAATACCACTTGTCAGACCTGCAGTGACACAGCACACATCAAACCCTCTTAGTGCAGTATGACTCCAACAACTATCAGCATTTAAAAAGCACTTTCCATCTAATATCACATCCCAAGCCACTTCATAACAGCATTATCAGATAACATTTCACACTGAGACAATTCGTGATATTATGTCAGATAAAGGAGGTAGGCATTAACAATATTCTTGAAGAAAAAGGGAGAGATAAAGAAGTGTTAAGGTTTCAGGAGAGAATGCAAAGGCTTAGGGCCTCAGTGAACAAAAAGCAAAGAACAATACAGCACAAGAACAGGCCCTTCAGCCCTCCAAGCCTGCACTGAAATGTTTCACCTTTCCCTACTGATCCGTATTCCCTTCCTATTCACATATTTGTCCAGGTGCTTCTTGAAAGCTGCTATTGTGCCTGCTACCACCACCTCCTGTGGCAGTGCGTTGCAGGCACTCACCACACTTTGTGTGGAAAACTTGCCTCGCACATCACTTTTAAACTCCACCCCCACACCACACACCTTGAAGCTGTTGCACCCCCCCCGCCACTGTAATTGACCCCTCCACCCTGGAAAAAAGCCTTGTACTTTCCACTCTATCCATGACATTCACAGACTTATAATCTTCCATAGGGTAGCCCCTCAACCCAGTCAATCCAACCTTTCTTCATAGCTAAAGTTCTGCACATGAGGCAACATCCCGGTAAACCTTTTTTGTACATCTCCAAAGCATCCACATCCTTCTGGTGTAGTAACTCACTCGGAGATAGTAAGAACTGCTGATGCTGGAGTCAGAGATAACACAGTGTGGAGCTGGAGGAACACAGCAGGCCAGGCAGCATCAGAGGGGCAGGAAAGCTGGCGTTTTGGGTCGGGTACCCTGTTTATTTCTCTGAAGAAGGGTCCCGACCCAAAACATCAGCTTTCCTGCTCCTCTGATGCTGTCTGGCCTGCTGTGTTCCTCCAGCTCCACAGTGGGTTACCACATCCTTCTGGTAGAGTGGTGACCATAACTGTATGCAATATTCCAAATGTGGCCTAACTAAAGTACTATAAAGCTGCATGTGGCCTTACTAGAGTTTTATAAAGCTCCAATAATCAAAAGAGATGTTCATCAGGCTGAAATTGGAGGAGAGTGGATATCTTGCAGATTTGATAGGCTTGACAAGATTAAAGAGAGAGGGAGGAGAACCAGAGAGATAGCTGTTCCTGAAGCTACCTCGTGCTGATCTATCAGTATCTCAGACATCAACTCAGTTCTGAAGAAGGGTCATTGGACCCAAAATGTTAACTCTGATTTCTCTTCACAGATACTGCCAGATCTGTTGAGCTTTTTCAGCAATTTCTATTTTTGTCTCAGACGTCATAGTCTTTTCTCCTTTTGTTTATTCATTCTTAGGATGACGGCAACACTGTCTTGGACAGCAGTTATTGCCCATTCCTATCTGGCATTGGAGAAGGTGGTAGTGAGATCCCTACTTGAAGCACTGCAGAATTTATGGTGTAGGGACACATCCACAGTACCACTGGTGAGGGAGTTCCCGGATTTTGAGCTAGAGACAGTTAGGTCTACAACCAATGGTGCGTGGCTTGGAACCTTACACATGTAGATGATGGTCTTCCCAGCCATCTACTGCCCTGGGCCTTCTGCTTGCTCAAGGTCAAAGGTTTGAAAGTTGCTGTCTAAGGAGCCTTGGTGAATTTCTGCAGTGCATCTTGTAGATGGTACACACTGCTGCCCTTCTATCTCATGGATGGAGGGGAAGAATGTTGAAGGTGGTGAAAGAGGAACTGCTCAAATGGGCTGCTTTGTCCCAGATGATCTTGAACTTCTTGAGTGTTGTTGGAACTGTACCCATCCAGGCAAGTGGAGAGTATTCCATCACACTCCTAACTTGTGCCTTGTAGATGGTGAACAGGCTTTGGGGAGTCAGGAGGTGAGTTACTCACTGCAGTATTCACAATTTCTGACCTGCTCTTGTAGCTACAGTATTCATATGGAAAGTCCAGTTCAGTTTCTGGTCAAGGGTAAGTAATCACTAGGATGTTGGTAATGGGAAATTCAGTGATAGTAATGCCATTGAATGTTTAGGGATAAGATTCTTTCTTTTTAGAGATGGCTATTTTGTGATACTTACTTCATGATGGAACCCATGCTATCTCTCATTGACAACCTGAAACCTTTTCTTTCACTCACAGAAAGTGAGTGTTGCTGGCTGGGTCAGCATTTATTGCCCATCACTCATAGCACTGGGGATGAGCACTCAGCTGACAAAGGAGCAGCGCTCTGAAAGCTTGTGATTTCAAACAAACCTGTTGGACTATAACCTGGTGTTGTGTGACTTCTGATTTTGTCCACCCCAGTCCAACACCAGCACCTCCACATCAGCGCTAGGGAAGGTGGAGATGAGCCGCATTCTTGAACCGCTGCAGTCCATTTGTTGTAGATAGACACACAATGCTATTAGGGAGGGGATTCCAGGATTTTAACTAAGTGACACTGAGGTAACAGGGATACATTTCTAAGTCAGGATGACTGGGACAGGAACTTGCAAGTACTGGTGTTCCCATATATCTGCTGCCCTTGACCTTCTAGATGGAAGAAGTCAGAACAGCATAAGATATATCTATGGCTGATCTGATAACCTTCAACTCTACTTTCCTGCCTTTTCCCATTATCCTTGATTGCCTTACTGATTAAAAATTTGACTATCTCAGCCTTGAATATACTTAAGGACACAGTCTTGACAGCTCACCATGGTAGAGAATTCCACAGCTTCACTATCCTCTGAGAAAAGAAATTCTTCCTCATCTTTTCTTTACACAGAGAAGTGCTAGGTGCGTGGAATGCACTGCCGGCGGTGGTAGTGCAGTCAGATACATTAGGGGCATTTAAGCGACTTTTGGATAGGCACATGGATGATAGTAAAATGTAGAATATGCAGGGTAGTTTGATCTTGGAGTAGGATAACAGGTCAGCACAACATCATGGGCCGAAGGGCCTATACTGCGCTGTACTGTTCTACATTCTATGTTCTATGTTCTTTATCTTAAATATGCAACTCTTTGTTCTCAAATTATGCCCTCTGGTCCTAGACTCTCCAACAAAGGGAAAACAACCCTTCCACATCTACCCTGTTAAATCCTCTAAGAATCTTGTATGATTCATTAAGGATGCCACTCATTCTTCTGTTTTCCAATAAGTTTAGGCACAATCTACTCAATGTCTTCTCATAAAGCAGCCTTTCCATACCTGATATAAGCCTGGTGAATCTTCTCTAGGCTGCCTCTATTACTAGTACATCTTTTCTGAGATAAAGGGACCAAAACTATTCACGTCTTCCAGCTGTGGTCTGACTGGTGCCATGAATAGTTTTAGAAAAAGCTCCCTACTTTTATATTCATTCCCTTTGAAATAAAGGCCAATTTCTATTTGCCTGCTCTTCTAACCACTGAACTTAGGTGTTGGTTTTTCTGTGATTCATGGATGAGGTCTCCCAAATCCCTTTGTGCTCTAACTTTCCACAATCTTTGTCCACTTGAATAGTATCTTGCCAAAGTGCATAACTCACACTTCCCCACTTTGTATTCAGTCTGCCAACTTTCTGTCCAGTCACTTAACCTCTCTATATCCCTCTGCAGACTTTTTGAAACATCCTCACCACCTGCCTTTCCACTTACTTTTGTGTCATCTGCAAACCTGGCTAGAGTACATTCACTTTCCTCATCCAAGTCATTAGCAGTTATTGTAAATAGCTATGGCCTAAGCACAGGGTGCCATCCCAAAAATTACCTTCTCAGAGGCCCACGCAGCCATTAATAAAAAATAGGGGGAACACTGGCTGTCAGCCTGAAAATGCCCTCCTTTTCCTAACTCTCTATCTTCTATTAGTTAGTCACTCGTCTGATCATGCTAAGTTACTACCTCCAGCACAATGGATTCTTTTTGTTTCACAATGGGCTCTTATCTTATTAAGTAAACCAAATAAGTGATTTCTTATCAAATGCCTTTTGAAAATCCAAATATATTAAATCTACTGCTTTCCCTTTATCTATCCAGCTTGTCATTTCCTCAAACAATTTTAGAAAATTTGTCAGACACAATTTTCCCTTCTTGAAGCCATGCTGATGCTACTGGACCATGTTATGTATTTTTAACTGCTATGCTTTTACTCTGGTCCATTAATGGTGACATAAAGTCACAGTTTTGGTAGGTGCATGGAGCTCCAGGTTGTAGCAAACGTAGTTCACATGGGCACACTGCCAAACCTTACCTGGTTCCAGAGCTGCCCTCCACATCCTGTTTTTGAAGCCCTTCTGTTCTCTTGATTTTTTCATTGGATGCAGTGCTATCACCTGTCAAGAAAGGGGTACAAAAGATCAGTCTTCAGAAAAACTACTAACTGCTTCTATATCTCTCACTGCAGTGAATGAAGGGCAACTGGTCTTTTGTAAATCACAGTCTGTGGTTGTTGATTGGGACAAAGCGGAGAATCCAGAGATAGTAGGAACTGCAGATGCTGGAGAATCTGAGACAACAAGGTGCAGAGCAGGATGAACACAGCAGGCCAAGCAGCATCAGAGGAGCAGGA